AGAGAGAGAGAGAGAGAGAGAGAGAGAGAGAGAGAGAGAGAGAGAGAGAGTGAGGTGTCCTAGGAGATATGCGCCCAGGAAAGCTGGGAGATATCCTGCGCCGGGGAGATCATTCTGTCTGTGTCTGGGATGAACAAGACAAAGTGGTGAACTGGCGTGGGAGACTGAAAACGCGAAGAATTGAGGCGCGGGAAGCGAAGGTGTTGTAGGGGCATGCCGAGGATTCGCAAAAAACAGGCGGAAAGATGAATGAGGACGAAAAAACGTAGGCCAGGGGGCCACTGAGAAAACAGATGCTGACGTCGTTAGAAGAGAGAGAGAGAGAGAGAGAGAGAGAGAGAGAGAGAGAGAGAGAGAGAGAGAGAGAGAGAGAGAGAGAGAGAGTGAGAGAGAGAGAGAGAGTGACGTGTCCTAGGAGATATGTGTCCAAGGATAGCTGGGAGATATCCTACGCCGGGGAGATCATTCGGTCTGTGTCTGTGGTGAACAAGACAAAGTGGTGAACTGGCTTGGGAGACTGAAAACGCGCAAAAGGTTGAGGCCTGGGAGCGGGGGATTGTTTTGCTCGTTTTTTGCAGGCTCTACCGCCCCTTGCACAAGTGTCGTGGGCCCTGCTCCTTTCATCCCTACGCAGCCTATTACCAATACCTAGTCCCAGTTCCAGAATGTCTTCCCATCCATCGAACCCGTCCTTACTTGCCGCTGAGACTTCTCTTACTGCTCTAAAAAACCAGTGTTTGGGAAACCCCTTGAGTCTTAATTCCCGTCTCAAAGACAGCAGTGTCAAACCCACTCCCCTATTGTCTGAGGAGTGGGCTATAATCCTGTGCAGATGGCACTTGAGAGCTGCTTTCTTGAACTGTACGGGCCCAAATGACCAGAAATCCTTGGTAGACTGTATGCGGATAGGTTTCTCATCCCACACTGACTCCTGATTTTTTGTCTTAGCCATGCACTCTACACTAGGAGGCGTCACAGAGCATGTGATGGAGCATCCGAGGAAATCCCATATGTCATCACCTTTGTCAGTTCTGACTAATGACATATTAGAATCATAAGATGTTCTAAAAATCTCGATAATTCCTGCCGCCTTGTCGAACATTTCCTTGCTTGGGCTCGGTAGCAGTAAGAAAGTGCTCATGTCGTCAACCAGTCTAATTCCTGCAAATAATCTGCGGTCTGAGCCGAGGGACTTCAAAAACATACATTCGTTATATGAGAAGAGAAGGCAAGCCAGCGCAGGGCTGGAGCACTTGCCCATGGGAATCCCAACCGTCTGTCGTATAATATTTCCTGCCACAGTAACATAAGTATTTTCCAGATCAAATTGCACAAAGTCGATAATCAGAGAGAACTTAATGGACACCCAGCCCCTTTCCCCAAAGCTTGTAGAAAAACAAGCTCCTTTTCCGAGTCTGTTGACACGTACATTTCTTCGTCCTTGGCCAACATATTCGTCGCAAATCCATTCCACAGCCTTCAAAATTGTTTGGTGAGGCAGCCGTGTGAACATTTCTTTTACGTCAAAGCAAGCTCCAGTCAGGCAGTCATTCTGTAGTCTAGAAGCCCGTTTGTTAATGGCTTGGATTTTCCTTTGAGCAGAGAAGTGGATTTCAGGTTAAAGTTGGACGAGGCTGGAAGATTCCGGAGGAGAAAGTTGATAACTTTTGAGATGACCTTACAGGCTCGAATACTAGGTTCAGCGAAAGATGGCGAGATCGGACGCCACCTAGATATGTCTTTATGCTTTGGGATGCCATAACAGCATCCCAATGTCCCCTTGTCATTCCATGGTGCGATTTCGCTTGCCCTGATCGCGATATACTTCATCTTACAACTACTCAGTACAGAGCTCTCCTTCTTCTCAACCAGTTCGTAAGTTGGGTTCTCCCAAAACAATTTTGCCAGTGCTTGGTAATGGATACTCTTGCAACAAACCAATGAATCACCACAATTATGATATATTGGACAGACCACATATTCTCTGAGCTTCTGTTTCCATTTTGATAGTGCGATAGCTCTGTTGTCCTCCTCTGCGAACTGTTCCATCAGGCATTTCTTCAACTCGCAGTTTGAGACGTTTGAGGATCCTGGGCAGTGTTCCAAACTGGTCTCAGCAATCTTCCTAATATATCGGACAGTTGGTGACCATTCATTTGGTAGTGAGTTTCTAGAGTTAGTCAAAAACTCAGGAATTTCGGAAAACTCAGAGAAGCGGAATTGGACATGACCTTCGCTAGAAGTAGGCAAAGCAGGGTCCCAACTCAAACAGTTGCAATCGTCCACCGCCCCTTTTGCCATTCGCCTGTGGCTGTGAAGATGTTTACCGATCGCTTTCGGCCCGGTCCAAACAAACTGCGTTCTGACACAATAAACTCAGCAACACACGAAGGCTCACATCGCCTCCTAATCTCCCTTTTTACCAAGCCCAAGACATTCCTTTTCTGCATGTTAGTGGAAAAGACACTTTTAACTATAACTACGGTAAGACATTTATAGTCGCATTTTATTTTGATTACCCTTCCCACAATACCTTTCAAAATAGCCCTGGTTCTACCATTTTCAAACGACTCGATGCAATTGTATAGTTTAATCAAAGCACCGACCTCGAATTTATAAAGCAGTCTTCTTGATGTCGGAATTCTCAGAAGGGAGATCAATACAACCCTCCTGTGTTGCATAGCATTGTTCGTTCTGCTAATATGCAGAAAAGTAAACATCCCTCCGTTCATAAATTCCTTCTTGGCATCCTTCAAAAACAATTTCCTGTTATTTAACTCGACAATCGACTATCCAAACTTCTTTTTTAATCTACCCCAACCGTCGAGGAAAAAACAGCCTCCGTTGGTTCTTACCGTGGCGGAGTACCGTTGTGAATCCACAGCGTTATTTAGAATAGAAAACAGTGAAAAAATCTCAGGCCCTCTTTTTTCAAAAATGGAACTTCCTATTGCTGCCTCCCAAGAGATCAGAAACTGCCCTCCGTGAGTACCTGTTGCACGCCCAGGTTCACTCCTCAGGTAGGCTCTTCGTTCCCTTTTTCCTTTTCTCCTACTTTTTCTACGCTTCGTCCTTCTTTGAGTATTCAGAGTCGGACCCCATCTGGCTATATATGCAGCCTCAACATCCCTAAGCTCTTTCCCATCCACTCACACCAACGGGATGGCGACATAATTCTCCCATCCCCTGGATGCGAACCATTTCCTAAGCTTGTGGTTCGTTCTGTCGGATAGGTGACTAGCAGATAGCACGTGTTCGTCCCATCTTTCAGTGACTCCTCGACTTGTAGCACCTATGTAAGATGCCTTGTGCCATGGGGAGATTAGGACATAGACGCAACAGCCACTGCCCTCACAGATATCGTAGCCCTTCCGAACAGAGTCAAGCCATTGATCGAGAATTTTTTCCCCCCACGAGATATGACCCAGCAGGATCAGAAGCAACACAAACAATCGAAAATATTGTTCCAGAGTTCGTCTTCCCTCACCACGTACTTCCTTCTTCCTTCGCACCTCACGTAGTTCGTGCAACTGATCCCAGAGCCAGCGTGGATCATGATAGGAGTCAAGAAGGATTCTCTTCTTGGGCTTCCTCCGTTGTTTCCTCTACCTCCTCCTCTTCTTCCTCCTCGCCATATGCGTCTTCAACCCTTATGGCAGTGAGATCAGCCACGACTTGCTTCTTGTTGTGATAGGATATTTTATCATTCTTGCAGAGCTCTACAAGCTCCTGCTTGTACTTGGACATTAATTCTTTCTCCATGTCCTCGCGATATTATCTTCTTCCACCAGGCCCGAGGTTGGCGACAACCACCTTCCTTCCTTCTCTGACACGGTCAAATCCAAGTACAGACGACGTGCCTAGTCTGACAACTGACAAGCTGCCAGAGACGCATCTCGCCGTCCCAACAACAGACGCGAAGACGTCGGCCAGACGTCCAGTCGATCTTCCTACTGCGGGCGTCTGAACAGCTGATGGTCCCGCCCTGTCTTGAACCTGGACATTAGGTGCCGGCGCCGCCGTGCTTCGTGTAACTGGCCTGTTGCCCCCGCCAATGGCTGGTTCTCTTATACTGACGCCACTCGTCCTTCTAGCTGATGGACCTGGGGCTGTGGGAGGAGGAGGAGGAGGAGGAGGAGGAGGAGGAGGAGGGGGAGGAGGAGGAGGGGAAGGAGGAGGGGATGGTGGAGGTGATTGCCGAGGTGTAACCGGCCTAGGAGGAGGTTGGGGAGGGGGGTGTGCTTGAGGAGGGTGGAGAGGTGCAGACCCAGGATGGTTCGATTGAGCTCGGGGACGGACTTGGTTCCCGTTGCTGTGAGGATAGGCAGCGGGAGGAGGAGGAGGAGGAGGAGGAGATACAGGTACGAAAGGGGGAATGATCCTCGCATCAGGAGGCGGGAAAGCTCTCTGGACAGGCTGATTCGATTGAGTAGCACGTGTTCTGCCAACGACCGGCTCAGGCGCAGATGGCATTGGAGCTTGACGTGCAGGAGCAGCATTCGTTTGCGCCGTTTCGAACCTTTCTAACATGCCCATCATCCTTTCAAACATGGTCATTTGCTGCGCCTGCTGTCTCTCCAGCATTTTGCTCTGTTCGACCTGCATTTTGCACTGCTCCGCCTGCGCACGTTGTACTAAGTCGAGATTCATTAGCAGTAATCCAGCATCGAGCGCCCCTACCTCGTTCACCCGTTGTCGAGGGGTAGGGGGATGGGCGGCCGTAACTCCTGTCATTTCCTCCTATCCTCTCTTCTTCTTTTCTCCGCTAGCCTTGTCACCCTCCTCCGCTTCTTTGCTTTTACCCAACTTCTCCCAAATCTTCTTGTTATCCTCCTCCCTTTTCTTGTCCATCTCGCCTAGTCGCTCATTCATAATCTTTGCCAACCTTGCCTCTTTATCCGCTCCCTTCTTAGCCTCTTCCTCCGCCTTCTTTGCTTCCGCTCCCTTCGCCAACCTTTCCTGTTCTTCCCTTGCCTTACGCTCGCTTTCCAGTCTTCTAGTTTCTCTTAACTCCCTATTGTCATATGCAATCTCGCGCACCAGAGCTAGTAACTCTCCTTTTCTCGCTCTCGGATTCGAGTTATTCCAGCTAGGTGCATTCTGATAAGTTGCAGCTTGCCGCGGCTGGTAGGGGACAAGTGTCATGGACATAGGAGCATCGTGAGTTACGTTGTGGGTGGGCGCAGCTAGTGGTGGAGGGGGAAGTGGAGGAGAGGGAGGAAGTGAAGACGGTGGAACAGCAGCCACCGGGGTGGGCAGCGGAGGAGCCGATGGCGCGTACATAGGCAGAGGTGGAGCAGATGGTGCATACTGCGGCGGAATCGTGGTTGGAGCAGCGAGCAGCGGCTGTCCTCGTGAGCTAGACGCTCCGTAAGCTGGCCCCGCGATCGGCCTTCCCGTAATCAAGCCCTCGTCCCGTCTGGGGTATGGGCAATTCCTTGCCCAATGCCCCTGTTGTTTGCAATTAAAACAAGCCCCGTAGGGGACAAAATTATCGGTCATCCTAACTAACCGTCCACACGTCTAAACTAAACAAATCAGTCTCCCACTTTACCAAAGCAGATCGACACCTTCGATATGCTCGCATAGGAGACGTGATTCATAGGTTTCCTTAACTCGCCCAGATCGGAGTCGTAGACGTGAAGCCTTCTTCGCTGTAGACTACTTGTTGTCGGATAAATAGACGTGAGGTCTTCGTCGTTGTAGACTATTCGTTGTCGGAGAAGGTGCACGAGAGCAGATCTTGTGATGATCTTCGAAAAAAACGAATCCACCACACCGCGATCCACACGGTGGTTAACGCGCTATCAGGAGTCGATTAGAACCGCACTTTTCAGCGCAGTGCCGGGAGCAAACCCAACGATTCGACGTTGCTGACTTGCAAAAAACCCGCTCAGAGTTGGAGTTATGTTCAAATTCTCAGCCAATCATGAGTTAAAAATCAAAAACTGAAATATATATATATATATATATATATATATATTTACGAAAAAAAAAATGTTCGCGACCTGTTTACACGAAGATGTTCGCGACCTGTTCGCGCGAGCATGGAGGGGTGCGAACACGTTCGCCGTGCTACGCAGATCCTGACTATACCCTTTTTAACCCAGCTACTCCATGGGGAGTTAGAGTTGCGGTGCACCCTCCCGTTTCCATCAGTGATGTTTCTATTGCCAAAGAGGGGTTGTCGCATCACCTCTTCCCAGGTGGTTGGCGGGGTTTTATCTGGCAACGGTAGCTGACGCCAGACCTTAAGAATCCGGGGCTAGAAGTCATCCCTACACAGGTCGCTTCTTGCTGCGTCCCGGCTTGAACCCTTGATGGTGTGGGAGCGCCGCGGTATAGACCAATAGCGGTCTTCCAACCAAGTCCAGGGGTGCACACTTTGCGGCGCCTGAGGGGCTAATCTGGCGATCTGTTCCACGGCAAAAGAGGTTCATGGTAGGTCTGGCGTGAACAACATTCTCCTCACCCATTGTATCCGCAAGGCCGTGACCTGGATGTCAGGGTCAAGGATCCCCAGACCCCCTTTGTCCTTGGGCTGGATCATCGAGGACCGGGCCACCCGGTTAATGACATTTGGCAACTGGCTGTTTCCTCTCCACAACAGGGCGGTTGCTTGTCTTTTAAGAGATTTAACTGCTTCTTTGCTAAGGGCCCAAATTGCGCATTTATACCAGAGAGCTGCCAACACTGAGTTGTTAATTGCTAGTGCCCTGCCGATTAAAGATTTATGTTTGTCGTTCCATTGCATTAATTTCTGCAGTGCCGGTTTCAGGACCCAGTCATCGTTCGATGCTGGTCGTCCCTGCGCCATCAACATTATTCCCAAAACTCTGACCGGGGCCTCCTCCGGTAGCCATTTAACATGTGGCAACTCCGGGGGGCGTGCCTCTTGATGGTGGATCCACCACCCCTGCGTTTTGTTGCCCCAATTAACGGTCATATATGAGACCGCCGTGAACCTTTCCAACTGTCTCTTATACACATCTAGATGTGTATAAGAGACAGCAGTTATACAAGCTCCATGTATTGGTGGGGAGCAACACCTGCTGGAAACTGGTCCAGCGTCCCATAGATACAACCATATCCTCACAAATTGGCACAAACTGGGAACCGGGCCCAACGTCCCATATCAAGCACGTTCAGAAAAGTCATCAGAAAATTCCAAGGAGATGAGACTAGGAACCTACTAAGAATTTTATAGCTACTCCAGCCCTTTTTTGCGAGAAGCGTCATAGTCAAACAAAATTCGAAACCACCCCAAGGATCCACCACCAGTCCTCTTTCCTCACTCCGACAAAACTTACTGCAACAGAGCCACCATCTCTACTGCTACTATGCCCTCTTTCTATCCTACCAGCTAGCCCCTTCACTAGTAGGACGCGTGATGTCTTTCTCTCACTGGCCGCAATCCCTCTCTTACCCGTTACCCGGCTTGGCTGAAAAGCCATTTGAAAAAACTTTATTCAGAAAGTATGGGACTAGCCTGCCAAAGTCCTGCAAATGCCCCAAAACCCGCGAAATCCCTAACAAAACCTTTCAAGGTTCTCCAACACTGTCTTACTCCCTACCGAGCTCTTCCTGGACTCACACTCCCTCATCCTGCTGGGTTACAGGGCAACACAACTCACCCCAGCTCCGGCCAGCGTCGTCCCAGCAGCAACCCTTGGTTGTCCCGTGGAATGCCCCCCCAAAGCACCCCCAGATCTCTCTACCAGGCCTCATGCTCCTGCATCAGCAGGTTACAGGGCAACACCCCAGCACCGGCCAGCGTCGTTCTGGCATCGAACAACCGCAGGTCACCGAGTATAACAACCTCAGTACCATCTAAACAAAGTTGCCAGGAATCCCCCGAATCCATAAGACATTTTCAGGCTAAAACACACTACCCTCCTTTTTTAAGATCAGGTTTTTTGAATTTTAAGAAATTCTACAAAAACATTTTTGCCCTCCTTTCCCCGGGGCATACTTACTTAGGGACAGTACCAACCATACCAACATCACCCATAGCTGATCTCTTCTCGCCACTACGCAGCCCCCCCCGATTCGCCACTGGCTTGCCTTCCACCCTCGGCAAACCCCAGACCTCTCTACAAGGCCTCATACTCCTGCAAATTGCAGGTCACAGGGCAACGCCCCAGCTCCAGCCAGCATCGTTCTGGCATCGGCAAAATAGGGGCACAAAATAAAGAAGCTATTCGGATGTCAGTCCCGTTGTGACCCTCTCTGAACTCCTACACCCCAGTTACAGGTAAGGGCTAAGTAGGACCAAGGATCCAAAACCAGAGAACATTATGCAGACTGCACAAACACACAGCAACCACCCACTCTCCCCGCAACTATTGGAGAAAACTATAGGTCTCGTGTTCAGTCCTCAAATGACACACGGCTGGTCTCATACCCCCCCATGCTAGAGTTACAGGACCCCACCAAGCCCCAGTACCGACCAACCTAGCGAAGATGGTGAGGAGTGCCTTCCTCCCTCGGCAACTCCCCATAGCCGCACGCCCCAGACGGTGACAGGGATACACCCCAGCTACGGCTACGTCGAAAGTGCTGGTTCTATCTTCCTCCCTCGACAGAACTCCCCAAGCCTCATGCTCCTCTCCGGGTCACAGAGCAAAAGCACTCCAGTACCGGCCTGCGTCGTCCCAGCCCCTTCCTTCTGACCTACTAATAGAACCCATAGTCCCCCCACGGTCGCCCCCCTCCCCTTTCTTACCCCTCAGCCTTGTCTTTGGAGCAAGGGCTTGAATCCTCTCCATGGGGAGTAAAAACAAGCCCAACCCCCCGTACGAACAACATCTGGGAAACCCTGAGAAGGGAACTGATACTGCCCACCACCTACACCTACCCAACCTTACTCCGGCAAGACTTTCTGCAGTGGAGCCACCATCTCCCTGCTGCTATGCCCTAATTCCACTCTGCAGTTAACCCCTTCCCACAGAGCGCGTCCTTTCCTTCCATCATATCCTCTACCCCCTCAGTACAGCCCCTCCTTAAGGGAAAACGAACAAAATTTAGGCAAAACTGAGTGAAAATACGATGCAATGAAATGTTACAGGATCAGATTACAGCAACAAGGTCTTAGGATGTAAATTCGAAGAGTGATTTTAGGAGAAACGAATTTGTATCATAAATCAATAAAATTTCAGACCATACGATCAATGATTTAGGAAAAACGCATTGGTATCAGAAATCCAGAAAAAATAAAGACCAGACAATCAATGAGAAAAAAACTATTGAGTGACGAAATTCACAAGAAGTTATACAAATTTTTAGTTTAGATATCCTTACAGGATTTTCGAATCAGAATCCCAAACCACAGTTTGAGAAACGTACAGCAAAGATATATGGCACGAAAGGGTTTAAAAAAGTATTGCAAGAAACCAGATTAACATAAGGAACCATCAACAAAAAACACTAAATCAGATCGTCATCACTGGAAAGACTATCCAGAATTGCAACATAGAAAGACAAACGAATGATACGCCTGCGACAATCGAATAAGGATTTCAGAGTAGAAAATACCAAATACAAAATTCACCAGACCAGAGCTCTTACAAATCAGGATCAAGAAATTCTATGATTGGAATAATAAGGTAGTAGATTTCAAGGGATGAGCGTCAAAACCATGCATGAATTACAACAAAAAAATAGCCACCCCCATCCCCTCTTCCTCAAACCACTCCTCACCACCTCCTCCCTCTTACCCTTCGAACCCTACCCCTGCGCCTTTGAGGGAAGAAAGGTTCCTTTCCTCCCACTGTCAGCTTCCGCCAGCTACTTGGCTTAAAGCAACACGCCAATCACCAAAAGCATAATCGGCCATCTTCGATTCTTCCGACTCGAAAACAGTGCGGCACCCTCTCGCCAAACCCGTCGGCGAGTCGCCACAGGGGGTCCAAAACCACCATAGGCTTACCAATTACTTACCCGTGGTTGAGGAAGAGGACACACGTGGCCTACGTTGATTAAATTGCCGCTCCCCTCTTTAAACAGCACGATCTACGGTGGAGCACGTGCCAACCAAGTGTCATCGCCACTCCCTTGCATCATTCGTTGCATGTACCGCTCTTTCTCGTATAAATGTCCGTTCTAAACTACGCGCCTCGATTCAATCACGGATGGAGGTGCAGAAGGTCGCCTCCTGCTCCGTAGATCGGCGAGCCAACTATCCGCCCGTCATCCCTTCACTTCACCAACGAGCCAACTATCCACCCGCCGTCTCCTCACACCACCGACGAGCCAGCCATCCGCCCACTGCTCCATAGATCGGCGAGCCAACGAGCCAGCTATCCACCCGCCATCTCCTCACACCACACACGAGCCAGCCATCCGCCCTCCATCCCTTCACATG